TTAACCAACTGAGCCACCCAGGCGCCCAAACCTGGAGTTTTGTAATACTTGCTGATTTTAAAAATGTGTACATATTTTCACATACATGTTTATATGTATGTATGTGTGCACATATATGTAATGTGTGTGTATACAATTCAAAACTAAATGAAGTTGCCAGAGAAATCTAATGAGAGTTTGATGAAAATCCTTAAACCTTTCCTATTGCAATTACAAAAATAAGTATTCACACATTCATTCATTCATTCATTCTGTAGTCACTTGTGAGCACCTCTTCTTTGCAGGCACTGGGGATGCAGCATGAACAAGTCACAGTCCCTGCCCTCAGGCAGAGTAGTGGGAGAGAGAGATAAGTGGACAAAAATTTACAAATACATTTTGACAGTGTGCTGGGCAAAATACAGCTCTTACCTCTTTATGTATCTGTAAAGGCATTCTTGCTGACCAAGTTCTGAGCCCCTAATTCTATTCTTTATAACATTCTATTTTATTATAAACATTGTATTCAAAGCCCTCCAAAAACACAATAAGATAATTATATCTTTATATATAAATAACCTCTTACAAGACATATTTTCCAAGCACATTAATTACCCTAAGATTTTTTTGCCTTTTTTTTTATCAGATAACTCCTCACCATGTGCAAGTAACAACACTTTTACTAAAGTCTAGACTACTTTAATTCTCTGTATTCAGTATTTATTATTCCTTAAACATTCAAATTCTCCCACAGAGGCCAAAGTTGGGGTGATTTTCACTCTTTGCTGCTTATGATAAGTACATCAAATACTAGAAGTGGCTCTGGTACAGTAGCTCAGGAAAGGTCTTTTATTTTGTAAAACATTTTTATTCCACCACTACCAGAAATGAGATTTATTTCAGATTGCCTCAAACTAGATAACATCACTGTCCTCCATATTTTGAAATATTGATCATTATTGTCTTGGCACCTCAGAGTGAGTCCCTTGAGGAAGGTCATTCTGTGGCCCAAACTGCAAAGTCTGTGCTTCAATGACACTTAGAGGAAGGGCAGTTTAATCCCACAGATATTTATTGAGTATTTACTTTTTGCCAGGCATTAAACACTGAGCTCAGCGGACACCACTGGAGGAAGGCAGAGGTAGGAAGCATTGTCTGCATTTTTGTCCCTCTCGGGGAATTTGCAAAATTTGCAAAAACTCACTCCACCTGCTCGTTCACTCAATGAGCCCATCCATGTGCCAAGCTGCCCACTGGGGATAAAATGATGAATCATTGTCCCTACCTTCACAGAGCTGGCAGACTAGTGGAAGGAACAGACACATATGAATGGGAAATTATGACAAAGGAACCAGAAGAGAGGATTTGCTCCGTTCTGGAAGCTAATGGAAGGCTGCGACTACACTAGGAAATTTCATGGTCTTCCTAAACTCAGCATGTCCAAATTAAACCCAAGATCTTCCCTCCCAAAAGCTGCTCTTGTCCTAGTGCTTTATATCTGAGTAGATTGTACAGTTTATTCACACATTCACTTATTAATGCATACAGACATTCACTGAGAAATATTTACTGAATGACTACTAAATGGGAACCACTGTATTGGGTGCTGGGGACACAGAAATGAACAGAGCAGAAAGAGGCCCTGAACACATGGAGTTTATAGTCTGATGGGGGTAGACAGGCATTAAAGAAATCATAACCTATAAATGTGTCATTGTAAATTGTGATGGGGTAGAGAAAGCTAAGAAAAGGTATAATGCAATAATGAACTTAGATTTGGATTCATCTAAATTCCTGAGAGGCATGGATCAGAAGGTCAGAGCGATCAGTGGATGGATATTCAGATTTGGACTGATGAACAGGTATGGAAGTGGAAAGGCATTCCTGATATGGTGAAAAATCAGTGTGTCCTCTATGACTTCTTTTATATGAAATATAAGGATGGGCAGAATGTATGTATACATATACATATGCTAGGAGTCAGAACAGTGGCTACTTCTTGCTAGATGATGGGAAAGGGCACAAAGGAGCCTTGTGGGTGCTGAAAATGTTCTCTATCTCTTCATCTGGATGGGGGTTTCATGGAAATAGTTAGTGTTAACATTCATCAAGCTTTACATCCAAACTTTATGAACTTCATTGTATGTGTGTTTGTTTTCAGCAAGTTTTTAAGAATCATTGCGTGTGTGTGTGTATGTATATATATGTTTTATCTTCATAGAGAAGAATCTGGGGGGAAATGTGCTAACAGGGATGTTAACAATGGTTATATCTATTTTGTAGTAGAGTTAGGTTTTTTTACTGTATTTCCTAATGTTTCTACAAATCTACATATAACCTTTTATAATAAGAAAATTTTGAATAAAAAGCCACCTTATATCTGATCCATTAAAAATTGAATAAGGGTGCCTGGCTGGCTCAGTCAATGGAGCATGCGACTCTTGATCTCGGGGTTGTGAGCCCAAGCCCCAAATGGATGTAGAGATTACTTAAAAATAAAAATAAAAAAAATTAAAGTTGAATAGGTTCTGAAAAATCTTCAAAATTAGAATGAAATTTATTCTTCCTTTTGCTAAGCTAGAAATCTCTCTCCCTATGGCTCCCATACTGATTTCTCCATCAGATTAATATAAACTAAAGCCCAGATTCTGCTGCTGATTGAAAATTTGGAATTTTCAATTGGATTCCAGTGGTCCTCCAAATTATTTCTACTCCTCTTGCCATCTTGGTGGCCCAAATGCTGCCCTTTATAGAGGAAGATTTTGTAACTAAATTATGAAAGAGTTACATTTCTTGCACCTTACACCATCTGGGATTCCACACTGATCTCCCCTGAAAGCTTTCACCACCTGAAAACCAAGAGCAAATGGTGACCTTGAGACTTTGTCTCTTTCAGGGTGATATCATCACGGTGATCAGCCGAGTGGATGAGAATTGGGCAGAAGGCAAGTTAGGGGATCAAGTAGGCATCTTCCCGATCTTGTTTGTAGAGGTACGTGAATATCAAGTCTACATCAAATGCATGCTCACTCCAAAATACACACGTGCCACAGGGATGCCTGAGAAAAATACCTTTTTGATAAGAACCTTATTTCAAAAATTAACTAAGGTCTCCAAAGAAAAGATGCCAGAAGATAACACCCAGTTCTGGTAAGAGTGTGGGGAAATGGGCCTTTTTATTCTGCCAGTGAGAGTGTAAATTTTGCAATTTCTCATGCCCAAACTCAAATAAACCCGTATCAATAACATTAAAAACCTCCATCTCCTTTGATTCAGCAATTCCACATCTGAGAGTTTATTGTAGAGAAAAACTCAAACAGGTACGCAAAGATATATGTACAGAGTGTTCACCAAAGCCTTGTGTGTAATGGTGAAAAACCAGAAATAATCTAAATATCTGACAATAAGGATTTCATTTTTAAAACTTAGGGTGATGAAAAAATATATACCCATTAAAATTTATGTTAAAGAAAAGTAGTCAATATCATTGAGTATTTGGTATTATGGAAAAAGGTTTATGATTTCTTGGTAAATAAAATAAAGTTTAATGGGTATAGAGTATTGGATTAGGAGGTCAGAAAGTCCTGAAGATCTGTTTCACAACAATATGAATATACTCAATGCTACTGAATCATATACTTTAAAATGGTTATTAGGGTAAATTTATGTCATGTGTTTTTTACCACAATAAATAAATGGAACTGTATGAAACTAGACTTATAAATATGTGTGTGTATATATAAATGGATAGAGGACTGGAAGGATATGTACAAAAATATTAACAGTGGTGATCACCAGATAGTGAAATTCTAGATAATTTTCATTTTCTTCTGCAACTTGTATTTTATAAATCTTCGGAAATGAGCATATTGATATATTCCTTCTCAGTTTTTTTAAGCTACTTTAAAAAGAAAACAAAGGAAGACCACATGCTAGACTATGTCTACCTACTTCTCAAATGTAATACTATAACCTGGAGTTCCTAACCTCTTTATCCTCGAGCCTCACCCTAGCTTGAGGCAAGTCATTACAAATTTAAAAGAGAGGTTCCATTGTTTAACTGCATCAATTGGATGCTTACCAGGCATAAAGCATTAAAAGTGAGCAGTGGGGAGCTACGAATGCAGTAAAAGGCACGCTTTCCACCCTCTAGGAAGGTAGGGTGAAAACAGACAGAGGCATAGTTGGAGATATAGGGACCAATTCTTTCATTCTTAAGAGCCAAAACAGATTCTGAAGCAAATGGTGTGCCCAGAACCCTATTCCAGCTTGCAAGGTTCTCCATAGCTCTTCCCACTCAATCAATGTTGACGGGATGAAAAATGGAAGGGAAGGAAAGAGGATGAATCCCGAGAGGCTGGTGTCCTTACAATCTCTAGTAAACAATATTCTAATTATCAGTGCTTTTTCTCTTGCTGAGGCCCCTTTGAGGCACATATACCCAATCTTTACCTGTTCAAATCTCACTCAGGTTACAAGGGTCAACTAGAAACCTGCTTCTTCCATAAAATTTCACCACTAGGTGACCACTCAGTTATCTCTGGCTTCTCTAAACACCTGATGGCTGTGCTGCTTATACTGCACAGGCTAGACTAATACAGAACAGGTACTCTGCAAAAAAAATTAGCTTAGCAAGTGAACGAAGAGACAAAATTTAGAAAACAAACCATTCAGTGTGACCCGGTCCTATATATGTATATTCAGTCATTCAACTAATTTTACATTGCATACCTGCTAAGTCAGGTCCTAGGCTAAGGTCTAAAGATACAGAGAGATGTGGGTCCCTACTTTCAGGGATTGTAAAGTCAGACATTAATCAAGTAATTCTAAGTGTAATGAATGATGCAAAGAGTGAAGGAGAGGGAACTAAGTGGGGGAGGGAGGGAATGATGTGCAACTTCTGTGGGAAGGGGGTCAGCAAATGCCTTTTAAGCAAAGATCAGACAGATGATTAGGAGCTATGTAGGTGAGCATGGAGGGAAGCGTGCTTTAGGGAATGAAGGTAACATGTGCAAAAGTCCTACGGGATGAGGAAGTGTAGGGAACCCAAAGGTCCAAAAGCATCCTAGAGCTGGAGCTTAGGGAGTAAGAGAATGACACGAGGCAGCCAGGGAAGTAAGTGGGAGACGGATCACAGAGGGCTTTATAAATCATCCTGTACGAGTCAGGATGAGCTCGGTTATGCTATGGTAATAAACAGCCCCAAACTGTCAACGGCTCAATAAAGATAAACTTTCTTCTCACCCACATTACATGTTCGGCACAGGACCATGAGAGGCTCTGCTCACAGTCACTCCAGAACCCACACTGAGGTTGAGCCATCTTGTAGTTGCCATCTGGAACACATGGACTTCCCCAGTTTTCACGGCAAGGGAGGAGTAAGGAAGAATGAGTTGTACATCAGTAAATGCCTCAGCTCAGAAGTTACACTTGTTACTCCACTCATCACCCACTGGCCTGAACCAGTCCCCTAGCTCCACCTGTCTTCAAGGCAGCTGAGAAGTACAGGGGAGTACAAGGACTGTCGAGTAAATATCGTGGTCTCTGCCGTATCATAAAAAGTTTGGACTTGATCCAGAAGTCAGTAGACACCATCGAAAGATTTTAAGAGACTCAGTAACTCCATCAGACCTGGGTTTATTAAAGACTGCTCTTCTGGCTACAATGGGAAGAATAATTTGAAGAGGAAAAAGCAGAAATACCAGTTAGGAGGCCAGCGCACCCATGGCTCAGTTACAAGATGACAGTGGGTTGGACCAGGAGATTGGAAACAAGTGGAAAGATTCAAACACCATTTAGGAGGTAGATCCACAGGACTTGGAGGTTGATGGAAGTGAGGAACAGGACAGAAGAAGTGGTCAAGAATGCATGCCTCACTTTCTGCTTTATGTGCCTAGGTTAGTGGTGGAGGCATTTGCTGGGTCAAGCAACATCTGCTAAAGAGGAACAGTTAATAGTGATGGGGAGACAGTGGTTAAGTCTCCAAGGACAGAGATCAGCTACAGTTAATACCTAGCTGAATACATAGGAGGTGGTTCAATTTTTGCATTTTAGAGTTTGCATGGTCCCCTGCGTTATTTCAAGAAGCTTCTCCATAGCTCTGAGGGGGAAAGGACCATTGATTTTATTACCCATCTCTGATGCCCTTTTTTCCAAAACTTCTACATTTAATGATTATTCATTTGGACACTCTCCCCACCACTTCACCTCTAAAATTAGTGATTACAAGAACCCTCAAGATTATCATCAAACTAGCCATTGCTTCATTTGTTCTCCTAATTGCTAGGAGGGGAAAAAGATAATCAAGTGGTTGCTGTAATCTGGGAACCTGATTTTCAAAAATTACTTGAAATCTAAATTGAGCTTTTTAAAGCAGTACTTAAATTTTGACTCCAGTCATTTCATTAAGACTAGCACTTGTTGAGAACTCTTTAAATAAGTTTTGAATTACCAGTGCCATGCAAAGCAATTGGAAAGAAGGAAAGCTTTCTTGTAAGAGTGACTTGGGTTTTTGTTGTGGTTTTCTTTTCTGCATAAACAGGATTTTTCTTGTTAATGTATCATTTGATTTATTGAATAGCACCTGGATAAAAAGGTGGTAAAACAAATACTGAGCTTATACCCATTCCTGTCAGGACTTCTCCAATGAGGCCTACCTAGGTTATGTGAACCTTGCTCAACCCAGTGAACCTCAAGGATATTGTTTCAAATGAGTGGGTATAAATTTAAGAGCTGTGTAATCCTCCCCCAACTGAGCTATTAATCATGTTGGCAGAGCACAGGGCAGACCAAGAGTCACACAGAGCCCTTTGTCAATGTTGCTTATGAAAACACTGGTGTTGCTCACCTGGGGACAGAACAATTAGGTAGAGGCAAAAAAAAAATCAACCTATTTCGCTGTAGCTGTGAATGACCATAAAGAACTCTACTCATTCAACTCAAAGAATATATAATGTCCTCTTACTGGGTGAACGATGGAGGGATCGGTGCGCTGGGGAACTTAAGACATTGTCCCTAGTCCAGACTGCCATCAGAGTTTGCCTAGACAATTTCTGGAACTTCCTAGCTGGTCTCCCTACTTCTGGGCTGGCACTTCTGAATAACAGCCAGAATGAGCTTTTATGTGTTTCTTTTTATTTGCAAACAGTAAAATTTACTCTTTTTGGTGTCCACTTCTATACATTTTGGTAAATGCATACACTCCCATCAAGATGGAATAGTTCCAACACCACCCCCCCACCACCAAAATACAACAGCATGCTGACTCTGTTGCCAGCCCCTTCCCTGATTCCCAACTGTTGGCAACCGCTGATCTGGTTTCTGGTCCTATAATTTTCCTTTTCCAGAATGTCCTATCAGTGGAATCATACAGAATGTAGCCTTTGAGTCTGGCTCCTTTCACTTAGCACAAAGCATTTTGGACTCATCCATGTTGTTGGGTGGGTCTATAGTTTGTCCCTTTATATTGCTGAGCCAGATTCCACTGTATGGATGTGCCAGAGTTTGTCCATGCACCAGTTGAAAGACAATGCAGTCATTTCCAGTTGTTAGCAACTATGAGTAAAGTACTATAAACATTTGCATACCGATTTTTGAGTGGGCATAAGTTTTCCTGTCTCTTCAGTAATTACGTAGGAGTGGGATGACTGGGTCAGATGCTAAGTATGGGTTTAACTTGGTAAGAAACTGCCAAACCGTAGCATGAGCTTTTAAAAGCATAAATCAGATCGTGTCACTCCTCAACCTAATGCTGCCAGAGGCTTCCTATTACACTTCGAATAAACTTGAGCCTCCCAGGACTTTTGGGACCCAGCCCCTGCCTGTCTCTGTGGTCTCTTTACTACCTGCTCCTCACTCTCTCTGGTCCAGCTTCTGTTTCTTTCTTGACTTTTTCTCAGACTGTTTTTCCGTCTTTAGGATCTTCCCACTAGGTTATGATCCCTCTGTCTGGAATATTCTTACCCCCATCTTCACATGGCTGGCTCCTTCTTGTCATCTGTGTCTTGGTTAAATGTCACCTTCTCGGTGGGATTTCCTTGACCTCCCCTCCAAAGTAGGCACCTCCCCCTGCCACTCTCTATCATGTCAAAGAACTTATTTCTATCAGATATTTTCTTGTTTTGTTGTCTGTTTACTGGCTGTGCCATTTACAAATCACCCCTTCTGAGCCACAGCTCTCTCATCTTTAAAGTAGACATAATAATGCCACTTCCCCTACCTGATGATTTTCTTTTTCACAGTAATAAGCTTCTTGAGGTAGGAACTACCTCCTCTTTAAAATTCTCTATATTGGCTATTTTAATCATTTGCACACTGTCATAAAAAGTTCTTAAATGGGCAAACTCCCTTTTACCTTTATAGTTGAATCTCTACATTAGAATGAGACGTGGCTTGGGAGGGCAACTTTGTCAGCGTATCTCAGGCTTCCGAAGGAACTGAACTCAAAATATAGCACAGTCAGTGGTTGTGCTAGAGCTAGAACTAGATTGCAAGAGCTGGCTTTTACATTTTCAGGAATTTTGCTAGCTAGTTGTAAACCATTGGTATATATTTATACCATTGAAATTACTAAACTCTACAAAACAGGGCATGCTCTTTTTTTTCTCTCCTCTCTTCTCCTCTCCTCTCTTCTCCTCTCCTCTCCTCTCTTCTCCTCTCCTCTCTTCTCCTCTCCTCTCTTCTCCTCTCCTCTCCTCTCTTCTCTTCTCTTCTCTTTTCTCTTCTCTTCTCTTCTCCTGATTTACCAGCATATCACAGGCTAAGAGGTATGGAATAAGAAAGAATGGTGGGGAGATGAAAGTGTTTAAAGGAAGTAGTAAAAGATGGTCTTAGCATAAAGATTCAAAGTTCTGAAGAACAGATTTACATTCTGGTGCAGTTGCTTCTCAAATGTATAAACCTGAGCAACTTCATGCACACATGATTGCACAAACACTCACTGAGCATCCCCTGTGGGATATGGCAGAGATGGACATGTGTGAGCTCACTGCCCTCAGGTAGCTGCCAGTCCGGGGGTGGGGGTGGGGGAACAAAAGGGAAATGATTGCAGTGTGGTGTGTAAAGTGCCACAGTGGGAGAGCACAGGGGCTGCAGCCCACCCAGGTGCATTCAGGAGTGGCTAAAAGAGGAAAAGGGTAGGGGTGTGCCTGAGAGAAATGGGTGAAGGAAGACTGCTCCCAATCGGGGAAGAGTATCATGGCTTATTTTTAACCCCTGTGGCCCACAGTGAAGAATAAGAGCAGTACCTACTTTGCAAGAGAGTTGTCAGAGTATACTGATAGAGCAAAGTAGCTGGGACGTATTGCTAAAAGGTGGAATTTGACCAAAGATGATGGTAGCATCTGAATTGGTGTCAGACTAACCTGGGTAGGACTTAGCTGCTCACACTAGATCAGGAAGACTAGCTTCTCATGGACCTTCTGTGTTTTCAGCCAAACCTCACTGCAAGACACCTTCTAGAGAAGAACAAAGGCCGGCAGTCAGCCCGCACGAAGAGCCTGTCACTGGTGCCCTCATCCTCCCAAGGCAAAGCAACCAACACGCCCACCCTGCGAAGGGGCCCTGGGCCCAGGAGGAAGGGGCCTGGCCAGTTCTCCATCACAACAGCCTTGAACACTCTCAACAGGATGGTCCATTCTCCCTCGGGGCGCCATATGGTGGAGATCAGCACCCCAGTGCTCATCAGCTCCAGCAACCCCTCTGTGATCACCCAGCACATGGAGAAAGCAGATGTTCCTCCCAGCTCTGTGGGGCAGGTAGGAAACAGACCACTGGGATAAGGGTACCTTGGTATTAGGCAGGTCATACACACCATGTCACAAGCAATATTGGATATCTGGTACTTGCTGAGCATCCATAATGCATTAATAGTAACTACTGCCGTGTGTATTATGTGTCAGAGCTGTAGACACATGATCTCATGTTGTCCTTGAAACAGCCTCTTGAGTTAGGTATTATTACTGTTATCCCCATTTCACAGGTGAGAAAACTGAGGCCAAGAAGAGTTAAACAAGTTGCCAGATCCTCACAGACACTTTGCTTTCCCATGCCAAAAGCCATGACATGGTTCCTGTCCCTTAAAGAACTTCCCTCCAAATATGGCACCCACTTTCCAGAGTGGGTTTTGGCATCACGATTAGAGCTTCACTTTCCCGTCCTGTGGCATCATGTGGAAAGGAAGGAAAAGAGAAAAAGGGAAACTGGGTTACTAGGTGTTTTCAGGACTGGCTCCATAATCTGCAGTGAAAAGTGAAATAAAATAATACATGCAAAGTGCTTAGCACAATGCCTGGCACTGAACTGAACACCCAATGAGCACTAGCTCTTAATACTATTATTATTAAGCCCGAACACTGAACTGCCAACTGAAGGGAGATAAGCCAAGTGGCGATTGTGGCAATCCAGAAGCAGAAGGACTTCTAACAGCATGTGGCTGTTTAGGTTGAAGGATACTTTGAAAGATGAAGGACTGGAGGTCTGAGGCAAAGTAATTAAGAACAACTGCATGTTGGGAATTCTGTTGAAAACACTCTTTGGAACCATGCAGGTGGCAACTTGAAAGGACAAACTTCAACTTGCACTGATGTATTTTTTTTGAAGCTGTAAATCCTGTTTTAAAACATGAATCTCTACCTTGGGATTAAAGGACTTAATTGGACTCTAATCCCTCTTTAACAAGACAAGGAGGAGGAGAAAGTCGAGGGCTTCTCAAAGACCCGTGTGCTGGTCTGAAACGAAAACAATCTCCATCTACGACATTTTGTATCTTACACCACTGTCTGGATCTCTAAGAGGCTGACTGCTCATGTACTTCAGCCCAGCACCTGCACAACATACACTCACACACACACACAAATACATCTTCCCCTCCACGTACTCTCTCCTTACATAAAGAACCATAAAGTTCCCTTCCTACACACACATTCCAAATGCTTTTTTACAAGTACGTACACGCTTTTGCCCAAAATTCTCGCTCCACCACACACACACACACACACACACTCTCTCTCTCTCTCTCTCTCTCTCTAAAATGAGGGGCCTAGTGACTTACAACTAAGCCAAAGACTAACTGAATTTTTCTGAAGCCATTTTTTTATAGAGAGAGATAGATATAGAAAGTACAGCCCACACTCAGTGGATATAAGCAAGCTCACTCAGCTGTAAGTTGGTTTCCCAAAAGATTTAGCCAAGAGTCACTTTTCATGTGCCTTTATAATTCTTCTTTCCAGTCATTTACCTCTCCTGGAGGCTGGACCAGAGTAGAGAATCCCAGTAGGATTTAAAATAAATAGTATCCCTCCCAAAAAAAATTTTTTAATAAAATAAATAAATAAATAATGTTTCTTCCTAGTTTTCACAGATGGTGAGAATTCCAAAGTAGGGCATTTGCATATCCTATTCCCAGGGAACCTATGCACAGTATTGATAGTCTTTCTCGATTCAGATGGCTGTGGATTATAAGTATTTCTACATGTTTGCCCAGGTGTTGTAAAAAACATTAAGGCTTCACTTATAAGCTACATCTAAAAAAAGTAAAAAATTGAGCAAATGACAAGTTCTTTGGCTTCCTTTTTTTCTCTAACATCCTTTCAAGCTTCCCTTACCTTCCCCATCCCACCACCCTGCACAGTGCCTAGTCCTAGTAGGCACTCCAAATCAAGGAATCAAGACTTTTGACTTAAACATCTAGGAGATGGTGGTGACATATAATCAGGGAAAACTGGAGGAGGAATAGTTTCCTGTAGAAAGCTCACACAGGTCAGCGTAACTCTTTCAACCAATAAACGTCTGTTGAGTGCTTACAGCATGCTAGCGACCATAATGAGTGCTGGGGATTCTACTACCAATACAACAAGAACAGCGGCAATAACCTTGAACACTTACTGAGACTAATATGATTGATGATAGAGAAATAGATAGGATGATATCCTCTGATAGCAAAGTCTTTATTCGCTGCTGGTCTTCTAAATCCTGCCCTCTATCCCAAAAGATGGTAAGAGCCTTTGTAGGGGAGGTATTATCACCACTTTACAGCAAGGTAATTAAGGTTCCCCCAAAATAATATGGTCATAGTTCATGTAATTAGTAAACAGTGAGAGTCTGGATTAACCCTAGAATTGTCTGATTCTCGAACATACACTCTTGTCACTCTACTGTGCCATCAACAGAGACGTCATCAGGCAACGCTATTGGATGTCAGTGTAGTTCATCTTGGATGTCTGTAGCCCCCCTCCTCTCAGACTCTTCACCAGACTCCCTTTTGACTCCCAGGCCCTCCAGCACTGTCTTCCCTGGCCACCCCATTCTCCAGTAAAGAATTTGTCCTAAGTCTTTTACACCTAAAGGTTTTCATTTACTATCACTTTGTTCCTTTATGAACTATCAGCTGTGTCCAACCATCGCATATGCTGCTGAAGTCACCACGAGTAAGCTCTTGTCATCAAGGAACTCCCAATCTAGCAGGGACACAAAAAAATGACTGACTGCGGTGGAGTTAGGGCTTCCTAACATGGGACAAGGGCCTGCTGGTACCCACATTGACTCTAGCAGGACAGAGACTCAGAGTGTAACAACAGACCTATAGACTGAGAAAGCTATTGCTTTTCCAATTTTCCCCAAGCCCCTGGATGATATTAGGAAGGTCCCAGTTTGGTGCTGGTGCTTGCTAATAATCAGCCTCTGGAAGGAGGAAAGAGCAAGGCCTGAGGGCCAGGGCTTGAGGCAAGCTATTGCCCATCTCTGAACTGAATAACACTGAACATTTTTATCATATTGTCTGATGGGTTATCTTCCATGTATGATAAGTGATACCCGCTTTATGTTCACAGAAGTGTATGAAAAGAGAGGCCAGAGCAAGGAATTTTGTTTTCCTGTTGTTGTTGTGTCTTCTCACCTGTGGGAAACCACCTGACACATTTGGCTAGAATGTCAGGAAATGACCTCAAGGATGAACTTTGCACTAAATACAACTGTACTTGAAAACAATTCAGGATTAGACCTGAAGAGGCTGAGTAGGTTCTCTGGGAAACTGTGGTGGAGGAGGTTAAGCAGGAGGACTGGAACCCATGGAGTTGGCCTTTGGGAGAGTTCTGAAGATGATCTCTAGGTCTGCACTGAGAAGGGATGCCTTAGAAGGAGAAAGTCAACTGCACGGGACACAAGTTAAAAAAAAATCCTTCAGCAGTGGAAGTCACAATTGCCAGGCCCACCCTAGAGATTCTGAAATTCACTTGTTCACGATGTGGAGGCTGCTTGCCCCGTTTCTCCCACATTCACAGAACAATGAGGCATTCTTGTTTTCTCTAACACCGGGCTTCCTAAGAGGTTCTGGTCCCTCAGTATACCCCCCATTCCTCCCCTCCCCCACCACTACCTGTCCCCCAACCCCCCTCCTTCAGCCTGCCCCCTTCCTGTACCACAGGTCCAGGTTAGTGGAACTGCTGGATAACTAGAAAGCCTGTCATCATTCCAGAGTTTTCTCCTTCCCTCACCTCTTACATCCAGTTAGTCAGCAAGCTCATTTTGCCCCCTGAATAGTTTTATAGCTTCTGTCCATTCCATTCCATCCCAGTGTCTTCGTTTGGGTCCTCATCTCTTGCCTAGACCGTTGTTTCAGCCTCCTCCCTGGTCTCCCAGAGCTCAGACTCAATCACCACACCTCACCCCACCCACCCCTTCACCCCCGCCCATTCTTCCAATCATGGCCTCTATCACAACTTCTTTGAAAACCCAAATCCATTTCAGCTGCTTTTCTTGCCCAAACTGCCAGTCATTCCCTACAGACCACAGAAGAAGTAATACCTGCTGTTTATTGAGTGGCCACTGAAAGTCAGAAACCATAATGATGATTTGCAGACATTCTGACTATCGTCACAACTGTTCAGGATAGTGCTTGTATGCCCATTTTACCAACTAGGAAAACCCAGGGACAGAAAGATTAGGTAACTTGCCTGAAGTCTCACAGTGAGAAACAGAGCCAGGATTTGAGGGCAGACCTGTGCTCGCTCCCCTAAATAAGTTAAGGCATTCTAGACCCTCCATGATCTGGCTACAGTCCCCCTTCCAGCACTCCCAGATCCCCATACCCACTACACACACACACACACACACACACCCGCATGAAAATGTATGCATGTGCGTGCACATATACACACACAAGTGTGCACACACAAAAGTTGCAGTGATTTACTTGACATTTTTTTTTTTTTAGATTTTATTTATTTATTTGAGAGAGAGACAATGA